TATAACCCAGCTTCTTGGATTATTTGCTCAGCATACAGGTTGAATAAGTATGGTGAAAGAATACAACCTTCTTGCACAATTTTCTTAATTTTAAACTATTCAGTGTTCCCATGTTCTGTTTGAACAACTGCCTCTTGGTCCATGTACAGATTCCCCATGAGCACAATTAAGTGTTCCAGAATACTCATACTTTGCAATGTTGTCCATAGCTTGTAATGATCCACACAATCGAAAGCCTTTGCATAGTCAATAAATGCTATTCTCTGCTTTCAGCCAAGATTCATCAGACATCAGCAATGATATCCCTCATTCCATGGCCTCTTCTGAATCTGGTTTGAAGTATCTGTTTGGAAGTATCTGTCAAAGTATGCTTCCAGCCATTTCCATATTATCTTTAGTAAAACTTTACTCGCGTGGGATCTCAAAGAGATTGTCTGATGATTTCCACATTCCATTGGGTCACTTCTCTTTGGAATGGGCACAAATATGGATCTCTTCCAATCAGTCAGCCAGATAGTCATCTTCCAAATTTCTTGGCAGAGATAAGTGAGTGCCTCCTGTGCCACCTCACTTTCTTGAAAGATTTCAATTTTTATTCCATCAATTCTTGGTGCCTTTTTCTTTGCTAATTCCTTCAAGCAACCTTGGACTTCCTCCTTCAGTATCATTGGCTGTTGATCATAAACTACCTTTTGAGATGGTTGAACATTAAACATTTCCTTTTGGTACAGTGACTCTGTGTGTATCCTTCCATCTTCTCTTGATGCTTTCTGCATCATTCAATAATTTGCCCAGAGAATCTTTCAATAACAAAAGTTGAGGCTTGAATTTTTCTTTGGTTCCCACAGCTTGAGAAATGCTGAGTGTGTTCTTCCTTTTTGGTTTTCTGACTCCAGATCTTTGCACATTTTGTTGTAATATTTGAGCTGATCTTTGAAATTTTCTGTTCAGCTCTTGGACCTCCTCATTTCTTTCATTTGCTTTAGCATCTCTACATTGAAAAGTAAGTTTCAGTGTCTCTTCTGACATCAATTTTGAGCTTTTCCTTCTTTCTTGTCTTCTTAATGACTTTTTGCTTTTTTCATGTATGATGTTCTTCATGTCATCCCACAACACTTCTTGTCTTCAGTCTTTAGTGTTTAATGTACTAAATCTGTTCTTCAGATGTTCGCTAAATTCAGGTGGCATATATTCAAGGTCATATTTTGGCTCTCGTGGACTTGTTTTCATTTTCTTCAGCTTCAGTTTGAATTTGCATATGAGCAATTTATGGTCTATTCCACAGTCTGTCCCTGTCCTTGTTTTGACTGGTGATATTGTGCTAAATTTGAGGTGTTGATAGGGCAATGAGAAACAGATCTGTTGTTGTTGTTATTGTCAAGTTGGTTCCAACTTATAGTAGCCCTTTATAGGGTTGCCAAGGAGCTGCTGGTGAGTTTTAACTGCCAACCTTGTGATTCATACCAAACTTGCAGTCCACTGCTTTATCTCACAGTATCACACATGGAGTATTGAGAAACAGGTGTCTTGTAAGAGGTAGGAAATTTACACATTTGAAAATACATAGCCTACATATAAGAAACAATAGCATTTTGGAAAAAAATATGGAGAAATGTACAGGAAAATAACATATGAGATGAAAAGATAAAGGGGAATGAAATAAGGGAGAAAAAGTAAAAGAATAAAGGCAAATTAGTAAGGAGAAAAAAGTAAAATTGAATACTGGGAAGTTGGGAGTTACATGAAAATCAAAAATGAAATACATGATTACATAGAACAATTTAACATTAGCTGATATCTTCTCCACATTTTAGACCTTTGCACTGTAGTTATAGCATTATCAATATCTGCTAATCATAGAAATATAACACATCTAACTGGATTGAAAGGAAGCACTCAATAACAATTATTTTAAGAAGTGTCTAAAAGAGATGTGCAAATTGCAAGGAACCTATATTCCTTTCATTATGACATAAAAGCAATATATTTTATTATAAAAGGCAAGGCAAGAGGAAGGCAAGGGCAGAATGATAGAAAGAGAGAAATGCATTGATAGCTATAGATATATACTAACATGGGGTTCTGGTCTGGTACTATAGAATAAGCATTGATTGCTAACTGCAAATTTGGCAGTTCAAACTTACCAGGTGCTCTTGGAAAACCTACACAGGATCACTATGAGTAGGAACCGACTTGATGACACTCAACAACAACAACTGATTAAATACAGATAACACTAACATACAAGAGCATTTGAGGTACAGTGTTTAAGTACTCACTGCTTTCTGAAAGATTGGCCATTTGAACCAGCTGCTCCTCAGAAGAAAGATGTTGCAGTCTGTTACCTTAAATATTACAGCATTAGAAACCCTATGGACAGTTCCACTCTGTCCTGTTGCTGCTGCTGCATGCCGTCAAGTCAATTCGAACTCACAGGGACCCTGTAAAAGGTTTCAGAAGCTGTAAATCTTTGCAGGAGCAGAAATCCTCATCTTGTAGTTAGTAGCCCAGTTCATAACTCACTGTGGTACCAGAGTTCTACTCAGTTGCACAGGGTCACTATGATTCAGAATCGACTTAATAGCAAGATATTTGGTTTGATTTGTTTTTTAGTGCACAGAGTTTGTCACAGAGATGATAGATAGATGATGAAGACAGATAACTAGATGATAGATAGATAGATAGATAGATAGATAGATAGATAGATAGATAGATAGATAGACAGACAGACAGACAGACAGACAGACAGACAGATAGATAGATAGATAGATAGATAGATAGATAGATAGATAGAGATAGAGTCATAGATTGAATTGTGTCTCCCCGCAAAATATCTGTCAGCTTGACTGAGTCATTATTCTCAGTGGTTTGACAGTTATGTAATGATGTAATGTGGCAGTTATGTGATTATTTCCCAGGATGTGATCTGATGTGATAAATCAATAAAATGATGACAAATGGACGGCAAAACCCTTAATTCCATCACAATACTTTTCCAATGTAAAGGAGCTTCCCAGGATTCTGTCCAGCAACACCTTTTATCTTATAGAAGGTAAAAAAGAGATGTAGTCAGAGAAGCAGGGACCTACTATCACCAAGAAAGAATAGCCAGGATTATAGTGTAGCCTTTGGACCCCGGGTCTTTGTACTGTGAAGCTCTAAGATCCAGGGAAAGAGTGATGCCAAGATGCCTGGAGATCTTCAAGGAATGCTAGGCCATTAGATGCTGAATGGAGACTAGAACCTTTCCCCAGAGCTAACAAAGAAAGAAAAGACCCTCCCTTAAACTCTCATTGTGAATACAGACTTCTAACCGCCTAAATTGTGAGAGAATAAATTTCTGTTTGTTGAAGCCAACCAACCACTTGTTTTATTTCTGTTATAACAATGCTAGATAACTAAGATAGACAGATAAAGTCACATAAAATTAATTTTAAATGTTCAAATAGCCATGTAAATTAATATAAAATAAGGACTCCTTAACCATAATTAGGAGTCCTGGTGTGGCGCTGTGGGTTAATGTGCCAGACTGCAAAGCCTTTGAACTGTAAGGTTGGTGGTTCAAGCTCACCAACTGCTCCTCGGAAACCCTATCCAGGGTCGCTATGGGTTGGAACTGACTCAATAGCACTTAATAATAACAACAACAACAATCTTAATTAAAAGAGGAAATTGAAACACAGAAAAGTTATGACTTATGCTTAATGCTCTACTTGATTTGAGATAGAGCTAGGTAGATAATAGAGGAAAGGAGGAAGGCAGGAAGACATAGGATGAAATAGACAAATTTGTTGTTGTTGTTAAGTGTTGTGGAGTCAGTAACACTGTATAGGGTTTCTGAGGCTGTATATTTTTTGCAGGATCAGAAAGCCTCATCTTTTTTCAATGACCAGCTGGTAGGCTTGAACCAACATTGAGATTCACAGTCCAGAGTCTGTGCTTCACAAATACAGATCTTCATAGAAAAAATATTTAAATTATTGGGATCCATAAAGAGGATGTCATAATATCCATTGTTCAATGGCAACTGCTAGGACAGTGTTTATGTAAATCAGTCTTTAAAAAAAAAAAAAAAACTTCTAATGATTTTGATACTTGTCTCATCAACATAATGAAGGTTTGGGGAAATTGCCATTGTGTTTGAAACAACAACAACAAAAAAATCAGGTTTATGCTCTACCCTTTATCTCTTTCATTGCAGTTATACCTAAGATAAAAATCATGGAAGGGGAAAATATGAGCTTCCCAAATACATTTGTCTTGTTGGGCTTCTCAGATCATCCATGGCTGGAGATGCCACTCTTTGGAGTAGTCCTAGTCTCCTACATCCTGACTCTGATGGGAAACAGCTCCATCATCCTTCTCACCCTCATGGATCCCAGACTTCAAACTCCTATGTACTTCTTCCTAGATAATCTCTCTATGCTGGACCTCTGTGTCACCACCACCATAGAGCCCCAGTTGCTGGTTAACCTCTGGGGACCAGAAAAAAATATTGCTTACTGGAGCTGCATCACACAAGCCTACCTCTTCCATTGGACAGGATGCACTGAATGTGCCTTACTGGCAATGATGGCCTTTGATCGTTATGTGGCTATCTGCCGGCCACTCCAGTACACACTTATCATGCGTTCTCAGGTGTGTGTACTGCTGGCAGTCACAGCCTGGTCCAGTGGCTTAGCCAATTCTCTACTCCAAGCCACCCTCACCCTCCAACTTCAACGTTGTGGTCATCACACCCTAGACCATTTCTTCTGTGAGGTGCCTCTTCTGATCAAGCTAGCCTGTGAAGACACCACTGCTAATGACCTGTCCTTAGCTGTGGGAGCCATCCCCTTTGTACTGGTGGCTCCATTTCTTGTGCTGGTCTCCTATACCTTCATTGCCAAGGCTGTGCTGAAGTTACCTTCAGCTAAAGGAAGATACAAGGCCTTCAGTACCTGCAGTTCCCACATGGTTGTTGTCATCATGTACTATGGGCCAGCCATGTACATGTACCTTCAGCCCCCAGCCAACAGCACCCAGGCCAAATTCATGTCCTTCTTCTACTGTGTTATCACCCCACTGCTCAACCCACTCATCTACACCTTAAGAAATAAAGATGTGAAGAGGGCATTGAAGAGGATCCTACAATCCCAGGGAGGGTAAAAGCCTAAATAGCGTAAAGGCCATTAAAATCCTGCATCTCAGAACAACCATAGGCAAACCTTCAATGATTATTGGTACTTGCATACTTCCATATAAGTGTCCAAAAGCTCCAGGGAAAGATGCCCATATATCATTATAAGCCATCTTGTTGATGTAGAAATTCGTCTTACCAGAAAATGTTATCTTTTGAAATTTCAAATAGAGTAATTGTATACCTTCTTTACTCTCACCCAAAGCCCTGTTTTCAGTGGACATAACAAGTAACAATGTTCACACTTCTGTGGGAGGATTAATGACATTATCTTTTTCAAATTCCCTACTCAAACTGTTCCTCTTTACCTGGTGCCATCAAAGTAAATGTGATAAAAAAAAAAAAAACCAAAAAAACCAAGACTTTCAAATGAGACTTCTATTGGATTCATTATACCTCTTACACAAGTTCTTTTAACCCTCTCCTACCTCTCAGTAATTCACAAACACTCTGCTTATTCAACACCATGCCACCCTATATTTTACCATAGGCTTAGTTCATCAGTACCCTCTGTTCCTTTTTGATCGTTCATTTTTTACAATAATTTCATTCTCATAATAAAAAAATACATTTTTTCAATTAATATATTAC